ACTAGTAGACCAGTTCGTACCTAAAATTGGAAAAGACCACCTCAGAGATGATGATGATCCTGAAGATATCCAACTAACAGCAGAGCTCAATGTTCCACCCAAAAAAGGGTGGCAAACTTGTTCGTGATTGCAATTTAAATACTTGAAAGTCTTCTCTTTGTACTGAGAATAAACGATTCATTCTTTCCTCCATACAACCAATAAACTTTCAAAAATTATTTATTTATTTTTTATTTTGTTACTGTTCACCATTAATAAGAGGGTATATAATTTTTTTTTTCTTTATTGCGAGGTTAATTTTTATAATCATTTATCATCAAACTGTATGGCTATTGGCCTTCGCGGACATAGTGGCGAGATCAAGGAAAGCTATGGAAGATGCCTTTCTTGTTCTTCAGTCAGCAGCGCTGAATATTGGACTAGAAATCAGCAAGACCAAAACCAAAAATATGCTGGTAAACGGTGAGAATAACCTAGTGAACGCCCCAAATTTTGTGTATATGGGAATGCTTGTCACCTCTTCAAACAATGTGCCCCTCGAAATCAGCCAGCAGATCACGGCAGACAACCGGTGCTATTTTGGGCTTACAAGGCAGACGAAGAGTCACCTGCTCGCCAAAGAAACCAAGGTACAGCTGTCCAAGATCCTGATAAGACCGGTTCTTACCTATGCTTCACAAACCTGGACAATAACTAAGGCAGATAAGGTCTTCTAATTTTTTAAAGAAAAATATTGAGAAGAATATACTGCCCTGTTAGAAAAGGTGAAGCATGGAGGAGCCATGAACTCTACATTTTGTACGGAGACATTGATGTAGTACAGTTCATCAAGATGGGCAGGGCATGCGGTATGCATAGCTGACAAGAACCCAGAAAAGTTATAGAGGATGTGCTGGACCAAACAAGGAGAAGAGGAAAATCCAGGTTGAGATGGATTGACAGTGTGGCCGCAGACTCGAGGACGATAATTCAGCAACAGAACTGGAAGGCGGCAGCGAGGGACCGAGCTGGATGGCGGAAGCTCTTAGAGAAGGCCAAGACCCACCCCAAGTTGTAGAAGCCATCGAAGTAAGTAATTTTTATAAATACATCGGTTTATGTTTCACATGCTTCTTGGACAATTTTAACTAAAATTAATGTATTAAAAATCTATTTAAATAAATTAATTTAATTTTTATAGTAGTTAAGACCATATCAATCATAGTTTCATCTAATTCAGTGGTTGTAAAAAAAAATTAAACTAATTTTGGAACAAATTCTTAGTTATCCTCTATTTTTTTTAATAATTAATACGAACAAGATTATGTTTTTCTCCCCTAATGGAAATATGTATATCCAATGAAATATATCTCTGTTCTTAAATTCTTGGTGCAGCAATTACTTCCATTTGTCGTAATATATGAATATGAGAATTTTATCATTCTCCTTGAATCATAGAATACTTTCAGAACCTTTCCTGGCCGATTTATTAGCTTTGTCATTGCCTGCGCTGCCAGAATGCACTGGTACCCATTCAACGTTTACATTATTATGCTGAAGAAGAAAAATAAATTTTATTCTGGGACATTTAGTCCCCTTAGAATAATTATTATGTACAAAAAGATGAAAATAGTCTGGCACTACAAAAAAATAAAGAACAATTTTAGCTAACACAACATAATAATCTAACTTTATAATTTGAATAAATTAAGTACGAGTAAACATATTCTGATTAAAAATATTGATGATATGAAACAGTAACATAACAGTCGAATGAGAGTGACAGCTGTTTAATACGAAATTTTTTCCTTACATGTATTCGGAAAATTGATTGCTGAGGAGGTGAAAGAATAAAAGTTGTTTAAATGAGGTTAAGGAGGATTTGCGTATAGAGATAGGTAGATAATTCCAAAAAAAGGTAGCACGCATGATAAAGGATTTTTTAAAGGAAACTGTTCTTTGTGAGATAACTAACAGGTTTATAGACTGCTGAGGAACTTTTCTTGAATTGCATTTCAATCTATAACTTTTGATCTCATAAAACGGTAGATAAGTGCTGCAGTAGGTGCCTGTGTAAATTGTTATTCTGCCCCCTTCGGCCCATTGTTGAGCAGAATGGAAGCATACTCATAATTAATTTATTTATATATTTTAAATTAAATCTTAACTTATTTATTAAAAAACCATTTCTGCGCTAATTAAAGTAAAATTTGTTTTATATGCCAAATATATGCTTTGGCAATGAAGAGGCTGCTTTGTTATTTTAATTATAAATAAAGGGTGTTTAATTTATATATTTATTGTATCTTACAAAAATATACTTCATAAGTTTTTTTTAAGACTTCCAGTATTGTAGATTATAGTATTTTTTTTAGTAGCATACGATTATACATTGACCTGGAAAAGACAAGGAATTTCATAAACAGATTCCAGTAGAAGCCCTATAAATAGTAAAGCTGAATTTGGTTTAATAAAAATATAATTTAATCATAATTATATTAAATTTACCACTTCATTTGTTATTCTCTATGTAATAAATGTAGAATTAGAAATTATTATAAAAGAAATTCAAATTTTGCTTGAAGTTCTGAGGTCATTACACTGTGTTGGTGCGAATATAGCATGCATGGTATATTGGAAGGATTAAAATAACTCAAAGGTTTGTATGAAATAAAGTTCAGCCTAATTAAAAAGGTAAAAGATAATGTATAATACTAGAGGATCCAGGATTTTGTTTTGGAAGCTTCAGCACGAAAGATTTAAAAAAAAAAAATATAACGATAATTACTTAGGAAGAAAAAGAAAGGATCTATATGAAATAGAGCTTAAGTGATTCTTAGTTTAAGTACTATTACGGGCCAGTTGTACAATTCACGGATTTATACAAGATTCAGTTATCTGAGCTTAATCTACCAGTAACAGCTCAGCTGTTATCACCACTTTCGGTCCTTAGTAAAAAGTTAAATTTAAACAGAGATGTAGAAAGAAAGTAGGTTACTAATAGGTTTTTTTACAGTTCTTTGTTGTGTGAGCTTCTCAATGTCAAGTATTTGTTTCACTTAACGAAAGACAAAGTTAAATTAATTTGTGTTAATTAGTTTTAGTCATAAAAAATATCCATCTAAACATTCGTCATGAGACCAACGGAGAAATGATTCATCCGAGGACGATATACTTTTCTCTCCATTAGTAAAAATGCAATTAAACCGAGGAAATCCTCATCATCTGTGAGGTCATCAAAATCTAGCTTATCCATTTTTACAAGAGAAAAGATAAATAATAATGATTAAAAACACCATGGAAGGTTACTATAGTTGCCAAGGGTAACGTGAGTTTTTCCTTTGAAGTAAAGCTTAAACTCAAGCTGAAAAGCTGAGCTTTGTTTGAGCGATGGGTGAAACTTGGTCTAATCTTAGATAATACCTAATCTAGGCTTTACTGTGTTGGAATAACTGACCTTTAATTTAATTACACGAAGAATAACAATTATAGAGGTAATTATTAAATATTTTTTTCATAAGACAGTTATAATTTACCATTTTTGGAAGGGGCTTCAGCCGGAAAGCTCCCCTCTCTCCCACATAGATCTGCCAATGATGTATAACAATTGAAAAGTAAATAAATCACTTGGATCCAAATCTTTAACAAGGGTAATTATTTTTTCATATTAGAATGTAGCCTTTTTTTTTTTCATAATTTTTATGTTTAATGCAAATTATATTGTTTATGGGATTAGTCCAAAAATTTCTGAGAAAAAATCTTAATTTGTTTCTACTTTTAAATTGAAATTGCTCATGGACAGAAAAATAACATGTGAAAAATAGAAAATAAAACCATCATTGGTAAAGGTCATAGAAAAGTTGAAAAATGGTGCTGTTTATTGTAATGATCTTTTACCAGGATCAGAATGAGGGTTTCTGGCAGGAGAGGCAAGATTAAGTTTTGTTAATTTATAAGTGTTTTAAGATAAGGTATTTTGAAATATCATCATGAGATAACATTAAATTGTGCCACTGAATTTGGATCAAAAAAACAAACAAGTAGATAGAAACAATTTTTATAAAACCTGAAAAATTATTGAAATTTACATCTCCCTCACGCTTGGGAAGATCACAAAACACACATCTTCCATTCTCTGATTTACCAAATTATTCTTATTAACAAATTTTTTTAATTAGGATAATTTGTAAAAAAAGATCTTTCTTATATACAAAACTTGGTTCTATTTAAATGATAAATTGGAGTATGAATCTTCTTTAGGATAATGATGTTTGACTGAATTTCAACTGTTCATCCCATTTACAGATTTCAAATCAGCAGGAGAATAGTCACATGTATCTAAGATGAAAAGTAATTAGTGTTGTTTGAAGATATATATGTTGAACAATACAAATGAGGCGAAGCATGAAATCCAATGTTAAATAATATTTTTAACCTTGCTTCAATGGTAAGCTGTGCAAAATTTGGGCTGGATCAATCAAATGTAGTTTAGATTTGTTAAATTTTCAACCTGATCCAGAGCAAGTTAGTTTTGATCGGAGAGATATTTAAGTAAATTATTCCATCGGAATTTTTATTAAAAGAAAGCCAATATAACAAGGTTTGTTAATGGTGTTCGAATCCTTATTTGTATCTCTTTTTAAGCATTGAACAACAAATGGAAGAGACAAATGTGGTATAACATTTATTATATAAAACAGTTATGTATTATAAACATTCAATATAAACAAAAGAGAAATATCAAAGCAATGTTGCTGCCTTTTGACAATCTAAGCTACGTGCTAAATCAAAGCACAGAATCAAGAATGATTTAAAACTTAAATATGATTAATAGCAATTTTTTTTCTTTTCTTTCTTTCGAATTATTCAAGACAAGACAGATGATAAATCCAGAAACATTTCGAAGGTAGAAGAATCAAACCCTCGCATTATTGCAGCCAGTAGTTATTTTCGATCTTCAGGTACTAAATGAAACAAATCAAAATTATCTATATCCACACACACAGAAAATTACAAATCAATTATTTAAAAAAGTTGATATTTTATCTCTGGTAAATAATATATTAACAAAAAAAAAAAAAAATTACATCACTTTGAATATAATTCATGTAAAATCTTAACGGTTACAATTCTAACAAATAGTTTTACAATGGCTATCTCTGATGCACTTAATTGATAACTACATAAGATTGTAGAATAACAAAGGAATGAAATAAATTATTAAATAAAGACAAGTAGCTTTATTGGACAAGTGAGATTGTTATACTTTACAAGACAAATCACGATGAAACACAGTCATTCATAAGCTAACAGTATGCGAATTTAACTGCTCATTTTTATAATATATTTCACAATACAAAAAGAGAACACAAACTACATATTCCGTAACACTATTAAAAGAGAATGAGAACCAGTATGTACACAACAAATATGCTGATGCATGTGTTTATCCCACAGCATGTTTAGCACACTTCGGCTGCACTTGTTGCTATAATAATATTCATCCAATTTAAAATAGATATGAGGGGAAGAAAGAAACTATGCAAAGTAAATACTAAGACTCCTTGTAAACAAAAAATATCACAACTGATTAATTACAATATCAAGTTGATCTATCTCTACATATTTTTGTTTTTCCAGTACATCTCCATATGTTCATTAAATGTTAAAATGTACTAGTAAACAAAACATAGAAACGGCATGCTATCGGATAGGAATTTTTATAAAAGAAAAACAGAAATATTAATAAAATAGATGGGGTTATAACCCCATTCACACAACCTTTAAGGCATAACTTTTGACACCCATATTCGTTAATAACACATCATTTATAATTACAATTTAAAAAATACACTCTCTCTCACTTGCAACCTCTCTATCTTTCCTTACTTATTTATATATAAATTAAAAACATGTACAAACAGCGCAAAGAGTGAAGCCAGTGTGGGAGCTGCTAAATATTATTATTAGAAGGTTTTTTTGATATTTTTTAAAGATATTTTTAATTTTTTTTTTTGTATTTTTCTTGTTGTGACTACATTTAGAGTAGAATGTACAGTGATATAGAGGAGCCCAGACTGCAAAGGCAAGAAATACCCTGAGCCCGAGTTGACCTGCCCTTGACATGCCGAGTGATCTTCTCGCTTCTTCCCCTAGCCCTCTCTTTTTTTTTTTTTTTTTTTACACGAACCTGAAGGGGTCCCAGCTTACTTATCTTTTGTTTTAACTTTCACATTTTCTTCTTTTAAAATCCTAAGGTTTATTAAATTTAATTCTTATTTAATCCATTCATACAATGACAATAATAACGTTACACACATTTAACTCTAAAACCTATGAAAATTCATTCATTACGATGAAAGTTATACAGTAATACACATGTAGTTGCTTTCTCTCAACAACTATGAGAGCCGCCACGTTTTAAATTATATATTTATATATATATTTATAGGCAGTTGTACATCATCACATTACTGACTCTAAAGTATAATTACTATACACTTAATATCATTCTTTTGACATATTTTCATTGGCCCTCGAATTTAACTGTTAAATATAATTAATTTGTTTTTAATTCATTTGACCAATTTCAACACATTCATACTGGTTTTGTATATTTATACAAGCAACTTTCATAGTTTTTAAAATTTAAATACAAAACTGGTTAACGTCTGGATCTACGAGGTGGGAAAGAAATGCAAAAGGATTTTAATATAGCATTATGAAATTGAAACACGGAATGAAAATTAATAAGTAAAATAAATAATTAAATTTTAAAATAAAGATCACTTCGTATTCTAAGAGGCAACATATCAACACATGTAGCGATAAACAATTTACAAAATATTCTATATAATTATTTCAACTTTCTTTAATTCTAGTGCATAAAACATGTGAATATAATATATGCTATTTATATATATATATACACACATATATATGTATATATAAACGCTATCAAGTCAAGGTCAAAAAGACCTGTATATAAATTGGCAGTATTCGAACCAACCTTCTTCTAAAGATAGGTAACACGACTAAAATAAAATACAGAGCGCACGCTGAGATATATTATATATATAAAATAAATAAAAAAAGGTAAAACAACAACGAAATAAGAAGATAAAATGCATTGGAAAGCTTTCAATGATGGGATTAGCACGCAGTTCTGATAGAGCCTGGCTTGAGGAAGTATTATAGACTGGTCCCTGTTTCTGATCTTTGAATTTTAGGGGTCTGCAGAATTTAATTCTTTTTTATCATCCCACTCTCTATCTCCGCTCATCCTATTTATATATAATATATATATTTATATAACCTCAATAGTACTACAAGTTTCCTCTTTAATATTAGTTACAATCTTTGTACATATATCCCCTGAACGAATAGTTAGCAGTGTTTTTAATCTTTTTTTCTTTTTTTTTAAACTTATTTTGAAGACATAACAGAACTGGCATTTAGGGAACAAAATATACATTAAAAATTACCTTTTTTTGAAATACTACAGCAAGATGATAACTACAATCAAGTAACAGAGTCATAAAATATAATAATAATAGATTATAAATATAATATTACACATATAAATTTGATACGTAACGTCACATTTGTTAATCAAGCTTATGCTGAAAATTACAAATATTAACAACGTATTCATAAGGGAAAATAAAATAAATGGAAACAATGAATATAATAAATATTATTCTAATATTTTTAACATGAAAGATGAAAAAAAAATAATAAAAAAATAAAGGAACAAAGAAATAAAAATATGATGAATATATGTATATATACTTTTTAACTTGTGCTTATCAATAATATATGACACATGAGATTACAAAAACGAATACAATTTCTTCTACTTTCTAATCGAATTGTCTGAATCTCTATAGGATGTATGTTTTAAGGTTGCGCAATTATTTTGTGCATTGGCAATATAAAAATGTATATAAATACTAAGAGCAAATATGGAATATAGATATTAACTAGCGAAATGCACAAATCATTTTATTTTAAATATATAACTGCCGAAGAACTATTACTTAATTAAGAAGGGGTTCTGAGGAATCCTCGTAACAATATCTTGACATAAAGGTGACAAGGGAACAAACTCTCTTTGGGCAGGGATTCCAGTTGCGCTCTTTAAAATCAAAATTAAATAAAAGTACTTTTAAACGCAACACTTTCTTGGGTTCGTTTTAAATATCTAACTCCCCTTAATATTTATTTAATTGTATATATATATTAATATATAAAATGATTTTTTTTTCCTTGTCCCATGTTAACCTCAAATAGACCAAAAAAAAAAAAGAAAAAAAAAAAGGAAAAGTAAGATGATAGATAAGATCTAGTTCCAGATGCGAAGGAATGAGTCCCAAGACCCTGTGGCTACAGCCATACCATCTTCGGTAACACCTAGGCAAGAGACCCTGTTATCGTGACCAGCGAGAATACCTAAAAGAACATAACATGTATATTAACACCAATAGTTATAATGGAACCAAATTATAAACATTTCTACTACATTATACAGAAAACCATTTGTAATGACTAAAAACTCAAGAGAGAATAGTTTTATATCTATCAATATGTAACTTAAATATTATCAAATGAAGGTTTTAAGAAAAAAAAAAAAAAAAAAATACCATCACAAATTACTGTATCTTAGCAATGGATTAAAGAAAAGTGAACTCCTACTTTTTAAACTGTTTCAGTATTGATGCATTGATTAATGAATGAATCATTACCTGCACGTTCTGTCTTCATGCTGTCCCAAACATTGCAATTGAAATCATCGTAACCAGCAAGGAGCAGCCGGCCAGATTTTGAAAATGCTACGGAGGTGATACCACATATAATATTATCATGAGAATACATAGCAAGCTCTTGGTCAGATCGGATGTCGAACAGCCTGCAAGTTGCATCATCAGAACCCGTAGCGAATGCAAACCCATTCGGGAAGAACTGCGAATAAAATTTATATGTATAAAGAAACCATGCCATAAGTTAATAAATAAAAAAAAGTACAAGCAACACTTACAGTTACTGCATTGATATCTGATTCATGACCTGGAAAGGTTTGCTTACAGGTTCCTTCTCTAATATCCCACAGCTAGAAATATGAAATAATTATTTAATATAACTAATAAAGCATATGTAACAACAATAATTACAATAAATATGAAGGAAGTAGTCTGATATAAAGATTATAAAAAATATTGACTAAATATTCGATAAACTCTCTCTAATCTAATCCTGCCTTAGCTGACTTATAAATATAATAATGTTTTATTATGTTTTTTTTGTTATTAACAATGAGTAAATCATTTTAAGACCAGTACCAAATTTTCATTAAATTAACATGGAGAGATGAAATATTTAATAAATCAACAAAGAATCATCAATAAATAATTTAATATTTAACAAATTTTATTTTGATTTCTCCTAACTGCATTTAAAAATTAATTTAATTTTGCAAATTTATTGAGGTATTCAGCATTAATTATATATCTGAAAGCAATAATAATAAATTATTAAATTAATTAAAATTGTTTAAAAATCACACACACACACACACACACACACACACATTATGTGACATTATCACATGACATTATTATAGATCTCTTTTCTGGCTCTCAGCAGCAATGAATTCAAACAAATGGAATTTCATTGAGAAGTGACAAATCCCAATTTTGGATCCTTATATTTGTTATACAACTTTAAGAAAAGCCATTAAAAAAAGTAGGAGATTTCAAAAGTCTGGCATTGGTAAATCGATGGATCGAGATGAAATAGATTGTGTTTTAAAGAATCTCAGGCCCTGTACTTTAAGATCCAAAAATGTAGTTTTCAAGAAAAACCATGTTTGCAGTAAGATTACCAACTGCCACTGTTGCCATTGGACACTCATAACAAGTCTATTATGTTTTTAAAAATTAAAATATTTCTATTTTTTATTGCCTTTAACAAACTAAAAATTATCTGCTGCAAAAGTGAACAAAGGACAGTAGTTATGAGATCTTTAGGGAATTTTGGAAAATATAGAAAGAAATTCTTTGATATTTTGTATGAAAATAAACAGATTTTTTAGATGTTATAATTTGTTAGGTGATTATTATCGCCATAGCTGTATTGAAGTTCTCATTCCTATCTGGCCTCTATATTCCACTCTTAAGATGTGATAGAACAACAACCCAGGGATTGTTAAATTTTTTAATTACCATATATGCGCAATTAGATTCAAAGGTCACAATGAAAACAATACTAGTGTTGGTAATTGTTTATAAATAGGTGAGTCTTATAGCTGAACTGAAGAGATATTTTCCTGGAGAGCAAGATAATTACTCATTAACCCTAGAATGACACAGTGGAGTGTGACACATCCCACAACAGTTGCAATATTAAGTTACTTTTATATAAGCAGCTCTTCGGCCAAGTTTTTTTCATGTAAATAAACATCAAACGTAGCCAGGCTCTGCAATGTTAGGGCTTATATCATTATTGGGAGTTATCGAAAGTCATTATGGGGTATCCCACGCCCCAGTGTGCTGTTAATGCAACTGATCTGTGGATTTCTAATGTTATATTATTAATTAGTGTTATTTTCAATTCAAGCAGTAATTTATAGAAACTATTCTTTTAATATAGCAATTACCAAAAAAATGTGTACTCATGAAGAAATCCATAAATTGTTATGGGAGTTAGAAGATGAAGAAAAGATGCATGGAGCATATTGAATAAAGATGGCACAGTAACGTTTGATCAAATGTGTCATGTGTTAACAGTAAAAAAAAAAAGGAGGTTGTCTTTCTGATTTTTCATTGGAATGTTGAACCATGCTGGTTCAAATAGCATGATATTGTTAAGCTTAGTTAACTGGGAAAAGAAAGCTTAGTTAACTGGGAAAAGAAGATGAAATAGAGAAATTATTTATTTGGATTAGGCTATTCGTATATTTTTTTTTTTAATAGATATAAACTTAATGTATTTTCAATAGAAAAATATTGATCCATTTTTGATTTTTTAGCAATGTAAATGTTAACTTTTTACTTTATGTTATACATATATAAAATATATTCTCTTAGATTACCATGAATTTATTTATCTTTTGTTTTCTTGATTGTTTAACTTATTCCTGAAAAGTATTTGAGTCTTCCAGAGCATGACAAATAAACTGTATGATAATTTCAATTTTGGGGTGTACCACACCTCAGAGTGTCAGAATGAGTTGACTTTTTTATGTGTGCCGTTCTAGGGTTAAGTAAACATATTTCCCTAATATTGTTTAATATTCAAATGTACCAGGAAGAAAAAAAACATAAATATGTAATTCGAGGGTTTTCGCAAATATAGTAAATATATATATATATTTCTATTTTTAAAAAATGTTATAATGGAAAAAAAATTTTAAGGGCAACTAAAAATATATTTTACGTTGATTAGTTAATGATTTGCATTGATGCCATGCTGATAAAATTAAGGTCTGAAAGTGAAAAATCTATTATTATACAGAGATCAAAGATTCATCTGTAAATTATTGCAGAGAGAAATATATTTCTAACCTTAGCAGATGCGTCGCAAGCACCCGATACGAATGTGCGCATGTCTGGAGACAAGGATAGTGACATGACGTCTCCGGTATGACCAATGAAGGATGTGCATTGCTGGCCAGTTTCGATGTCCCATAATGCACTGAAATCATCATGAAGGAACTTAAAATTTATTAATAAGAAATAAAATATATATGATAAATTAGAACACTGAAAATTTACAATAATTTCTGAGTGATATAGTGAATATATACTACAATTATTGAGGACAGAAATACATGAATTTTTAAAAAATTCATTTATTATGATGGCAAAAGCTTCGGATGTTTTTGAAAAAATTTAGAAGTCACCTTAAGACAATATTAAGATAGCCTCTAGCCTAAAAGCAACAGAATAGGAGAACACTGAACAGACAGAAAAAAAGAAGGTTTTGTATTCTTTAAACTAATAAAACATTTTAACTTTCTTTGAATGAAATTGTACATATAAAACTTAAAATACAATAAGAGGTTACTATATTTGTAAGCATATAACACTTTTGAATATGTTATTTATGAATAGTGACCGGGTTTTCATATTATTGCACATTTTATTCGCCTGCATGTAAAAACTTTAAACCCGATAATCTACACGTTTCACAGTCTTAGAATAACATATTAAAATTTAATATTGCACTTTTTTGTGCTAGGTTGAGATGATTTATAAATATCAATACACATATGTTTGCAAATACCTACATTTAGGTTACTGTCTCCTTACAAAAGGAAGAATTAAACATAAGTTTAATAATAATATAAGTTTAATATACTAAAGTTTAATATAAACATAAGTTTAATAATATTCTTGGAATAGAACTTGCCTAAAATATTGGATAACAATAAAAATCTTCCTTCTTAGAATAAACTGTTTTGTTAAAAATGAATTTATTGACTTGAATCTTCACTCATTCATTCAGCCCTTCCATATCTCTTCTGACTTTGATGTGGATGATAATTTATAGTGTAACAATTTTCATTATTGTAAAAAGTAAAAAAAAAAAGAGAAAAAAAGAAAATAAATAATGCCAAAAGTAGAATCATATCTCTCATCAAAAATTGAATCACAGATAGAAGTTCATTGTAGAACACATAAATACAAATATTTCTATTAGAGAATTTGATGTTTTTATAGTGATTTAAAAAAAAAAACAGCAATAATAACACTAATATTTGAATGCTTGAAAATATCAAATATTACAGAGAGAGTATTTCTTAAGTTTCCTAAAATTTTTTCTGAATTTCATTTTCAATGTTTCGTTGTAATTCAAAACTTTTGTTTTCTAATTTAACACAAGGTTTGATCATATTTCAATGAATTAATATAATAAATTAAACAAAATAATTATTTTTGAACTTTTTTAGGAGATAATTACACAATATATTGGGTTTTAACATACACGATTTTGCAAATTTTGAGTTTTTAGGCACACTTTTTTATTACAAGAAGATCTGGTCTCCATTTATAAAATTAATTGTAAAAACAAATTATATTTAAAAAGAACAATAAAAAAATATTATTTATTAGTATATGATAATTAAATGATACAAACTCGTTTAAATATTAAACAATAAATAAGTAAAAATGTTTACCAGGACATGTCGCCAGAACTGGTCACTATCTGATTATCATCTAGGAATCTACAGCACGACAGGTAGCCAGTATGGCCAGGCAGTTCGCGACTGACTCGTACGTTACCCTCTCTTGTCTTGAGGCTGAAAAGTGAAAAACAAAAAAACTTATAACCAGCTAAAACTTTCATAATCATTTTTATTAATTAGTGATTCATAACATTTATGATAGTTCACAAAACTAGACTGACAATCAACAACATTAAACAAAAAATGAAATAAATTTACCTGTAAATTGAACAAATATTATCTAATCCCCCGCAAGCAACGTAGCTTCCTGAGGGAGCATAAGCGCATGTCATGACCCAACTTGATCGAAGTGGGATAGCATGCACTTTGTTGGTAGTGTAACTGTCCCAGACAATCAATTTTCCGTCTTGGGAGGCAGAGACTAAATTCCTAAAATAATAAAAAATAAATGTTAGTTATAATTTAGTGATTTAATATGATTATCTATAATACAGAGAACATTTTTGTGAACATTTCCATAAAGCCTTATTGAGGCATTATGGAATGATATAACACGTTTTCAATGACAGAAGTAGCACATACCACCTCTACCAATAGTTATTCTTCTTGTTAAAATTATGATTTTACTTTCAGATTCCATACTCATACTTACATTCTTCTACTTCTTACTAATACTTTCTTCAAAACATTTTCTGAAAAACCCACTGTTTTATTTTTATTTACTTTTTTTAGTCAAACATATTATCTCACAGGAGGAAGTCAAGAGGTAATACTCTTGTTAAGACCTACTTGGGTTTTGGTATCGCCAATCAAAATGATTTTTTGAATGAGTTAAATAACTTTTTATAAGAAGTTCTGATTTTTTTTTTTAAGTAACAATATCAAGAAGAAATTAATGAAGTTAATGTTGGTAAAAACAGTTTCACTACCCTCTTTGTCGAGCGAAACCATACATACACATTGAAGCATCCCAACATATAAAGTTATATATGTTATAAAGTTATAAACAATATTTATTCTATCTATGAACATTTTTATGACAAGTATTACTCAGTGAAGGATGAAAAGGAGTCAGATGAAGGATCTCTTAGTCTAGACCAAGATATTAGCAAGAATGGACATTGTGTCTTTGGATGGTAGCTCTCTTATATATCTCTTTATGTTATACTATATTATAGTGCCAAATTAACTGATGGTTTTGAAAATCGTAGGTGTGAATAGAATTTACTTATATAATAAAACCAAATTAATAAATAAACCTACCGAGAGTCTGATCCCCAATGCATAGCATAGATCTTCGCAAGGTGGCCCCGAAGGGTCCGCCTTGTTCGCATCTGGATCCGACCAATTGGTTCCATGTTGGTCGTCGCCTGCACGAGGCTGGTATCGCATGCTGCTTTACGTGCATCCTAGAAAAAAAAGTTAAATTAATTTTTAAAATTAAACATATATTGGTTTAATAAGTACTTAGTATTTAGTTATATTGTTTTTTTAAGATTTTAAACAAAACCCTATTTTGGCAGAAATTTATAATTGTTAAAGTATTAAAACCCTAATTTTATTTATGTAAAGAACTTTTCAAATTGATTGTGTCCTTCACGATCCTGCTCCTATATTATTTTAGAAATATTGAGTGACAACCTCTCGATCTATTTCCTCCTCTCTTTGCTAAAAAGTTAACACGATATCGCCAGATGTAGTGGGTCCTCGCGACTTTGTCACATATCTCACAATTTAGTGTCACTTTTATTTTTATCAAATTTAAGAATTTATTTGTATTTCCATGGTTGGTTCTCAGCCTAATTAAATTTGGTACCTCACGTCTTTCCCTACTTATTCCAATAGAGGCGAATCAAGGTTTTAAAGAGATTTTTGGGAGAATTAAATAGTGGTTTTTCCCTTTGCTTTGAGACTCCCAGTCATATAAATTCTGCAACCTGTTGACAATCCGTGGTACCCATTGGAATGAAAAATTTATTGCTTGATGTGGAAATTAAGCTAAGAATTTCATGCAGTATGTAATTTGCAATATTGGGGTCATCTGTGTAGGCATTAGCATACAGAGGCTGAATCTGTGAGGACGACGATATTAAACTTTTTATAGAGTAGGTTAGTATGTCCAGCAAAAAGTTCTGTATGGAAATTGTACTGAAATTGTTTGGGATAGAATAAGACAGGTTGATTTTTATTTGCAGGTCATAAATTGCTATTGAGCATGTATTGGTGATCTTAGAAGTGTCAGTATAAATTTACTGAGCATAAAACTATCAGCTATTTCAGAGAGGGTATGAAGTTTTAGCAAATATGGTGATAACAAATTTTTATTGTTTATATTGTGAAAATTTGTATTTACTAAGATAAAGAATTAGTGATTTCAGAATATGTGTACATCTAGCGGGCCAGGGGAAATATGGAGTGTGTTTAGTTTGTTAAAAATATTTGTTCTACTTGAATAATGTTGCCCAAGGGATTGTACTGGTTAGAATAAGCTTTAATTAGCATTTTTTTGTAAGGGAGGTATATAGTTTAAGGTATTTATATCTTGAGTTATTATTTGATCTTAGTTCCAATTTTACTCTCTGCATAAATACGTTAATTATCCAAATTAGAGCTGGTATAGATTTGTTAGGCCATCATCCAAACCAGGCCTGTGTCATTTCCAACAGGGACGCTAGCTGAAGCAATATGAAATATGTGCCAGTGGTGGACTCAGGATTTAATTGGGGAGGAGGCTATTATAACAGTAATTACTTAAGATGAAAAAGAAAGAAAATATATAAAATGATGTTTAAGAGGTCCTTGAAGAACATTATAAAATAAAAAAGTAAAAAAAGAATAATTACTGGAATAATAATGTTTTTAAGGATAAATTAAAATTTTTTTTTTCTTGAAATGTGCTTATATTTAGTAGCTGTATTATACATTATAATTTTAAAAAGTATTTATTGTTATTGTTTAAGTGTTATTTTCACCAATGAAAAAATATATGTGTACTTTCCTATTTTAGAGGTCTTCAGTTCATAAGCCCCTATGCCTATCGATCTGCCAATGACAATGTTTAGGTACATTGACGAATCCTTATAATTTATTTAACCATACTCATCCAATATTGTTGGATTGCCAGAAAACATTTTCAAGGAAACAGGATTGCTTTAACAGTCCTTATTATACCATCTTGGACAGTAAATGTTGCAAACTTTACTTCCTTCAATTACCGGTTGACAACAATGATTATTGATTTGAATTTCTATCTAGTTTTTCATGAGAAAGCCTAAATATATTTTAAGACATAGTTGATGTACTAAGAGTTAATGGGGTATAAGTGTATTGCTGATTTTTTAAATTATTAAAATCCTGTATGGATCTATTTTATCTTTTCAGATTTTCTATATTAGAGCCCATAATTATTATATCAGAGGAGCGTTTTGTGATGATAAGAACAATTGTAAAATTTAATTTTCACAAATCAACGAAACTACAGTTTCATAAAAAATATTCACGACAATCTGAGAATGAATCTTAATAATATCAATCCAAGATATCTGGAAAATAGTGTGAATGAAACAGACTATTTTCCTCCAATTTCAATCCAGTTGGTGATAAAATATAGGATGTACATAGTACAAATTTTGAAAACAGTACAGATCCAGATTGTAAATGGTTATGAACATATGTACACAAAATAAAAAATAAACGCCAATAAATATAAAAATCTTGACCGACAAAAAAAAAATAATTTTAGAAGTTTTTAGAAGTCTAAATTAGAAAATATTGACAAATAATTTTACAAAAACTAAGCAGGTGTTAATAAAATGTATGAAGAAATGTTTGAAAACGTTCAAAGGGCGAAACGTTACAAATATATGTGAATAACAACTAAATTAAGGTTTTTTAATATTGATAACAAAATTTTGGTTTATGTATTCTGGGATGAAAAATGGATCCAAAAACTTGTTAATTAATGTTCATAAAAAAGAACTTAACAAATAATTTTATTATATGTAAATACTTTTAATCACACATCAACTAAGATGAAAAACATTCATAATAAATTTACATAAAATTAAATAATTTAACAGGAAAGCTATTCTTATCAAATAATGATAAGAACAACCCACATATCTTTAACTTTGGCCTTTTGACGTTTCGTATGTATTTAATGATGCTGATAATCGTTACTGTTAGTGAAAAATGCCGTATGTAACAATTTTACATTCTTATTCTATTTGTGGTGAAGGTGTCATCATTTAGTAGCCTGCAACTGCTGTAAGTAGTCAGCTACTATGGAAAATAGTAAAAGGAAATAAAATATGAAATTAATTAGTTTTTATGCTCCCTTGTAAAAAAAAAAAACAATTTTCACATACGACCTTTTGAACTAAAAAAAAAAAAAGAAGCGTAATGATGTTACAATGAATTTTTGAATATTTTTAAAACATCACGGAAATAACGTAATAAATAGACACCAGCGGAAAGTAACAGACGTAAACAATAGTACAACGGCTTGCAAGAGAGATTACTAGAAGCAACAATATCAGCATTCTAGCAAACTGCACCGAAAGCAAGATGCCAACTAACTCAGATTAGAGTTATGTAATGTAAACAAATACACATTTATATTTACTATTATATATCTAAATATTTTTAATATTTCGCTGGGGGAAATGTACATATATTGTAATTCAATTTAGACACTTTTTTTTTTTATATTGGTAACGAAAATTGAAAGATCATCTAAGTAAAATTTAATTTTTTGGCAAACTATACTTCCTTCAGAAATAGATTTTACTTTATTTTAAAACAAGATATTAAAATTTAACGTTAATGAGTATGATGGACTGATCACTCCAATCTTCTCTTCAATTGTTCACTACATTCAACCATTAATCCACAATTATTAGTAAGTATAGTTTGAACGCAAGTAGTTGGAAGAATTCATTTGGTACAGCTTTAAAACGCATTTTGTTTTTTTCCTTACCTCTCAGTTCTTACTAACACACAATATTACCGAATAAATATAAACATTGGAAGATGATATCGTAATCTTTTAATTAATGAACACATTTGTGCAAGTTTGTAAGTAATATCCGAGAAAAACAAAATACAAGTTTCAACTTCGTGCCGAATTAGTTCTATATGGCGTTCCTAAACTCGTCGATAGATCTATAAATGCATTATAGGCACGTTAAAGCTCAACGAATCCATCGGCTTTTGGAGTAGATGGATACCACTAGATGTAACCTGATTATAACCTCATTGTGGTTATTTTTCAGTTTACTTTAGATACATTAGAGTGCTATAAATGGGTATTTTCTGTTCAATTTTGACATGCCATGTCATATTACCAATTCACATTTACGTGATGTATTTTAAGTTAGTACAGTTGTAAATTTTAACAACAATTCAGAAGTAGATATTTTCGTATATATTTTTATTTTTCAAGCTTTTTGTAACGTTCCATGAGTGATTATCTTCAATTGGAATCCAGCAGATCGTTTATAAACTCAGTATGGATCGCTGTCCGTTGGTGCTGGATTCAATCGATTGATGGATTCATTCAAGAAATTGGCGCCGAGTTTAGGAACCTGCTCATAGTTTGATTAGTTCATAACTGAACTAGGTAATGAAACTACTTCTTAATTTTCTTCTACTTAATTTTAATTTTGTTGTGTGGCTAGAAGAAATATATTCTATGATTGAAGACTTACTTAAGAGTATGTATTTAATTATATCAGTTAATGTATTTATTTTATTTTTTTGAAAGCCCATAAAGTATACTAATGAAGGATCCATAGCTTATAAAATGTTTAATTAAATTAATTGGAAAAATATCGAAACATTAAAAAGATATAGTTTATAAATAAAATTTTCCAATATGATCGAAGTTTCATAAAGATGGAATAATTTTACTAATATTATAAAACAACATTTAAAACGATATTTGGCTTTCAATACTGTATTTTCAACAGAAAGCCAAGGGAGCCTATAAAAACTGACAGCATTAGAATCGAACATGAAAAATTTGTAATTGCATTTTCGTGTTTAAATCAGTACAGTAGTAACTATTACATCACAACTACAGTATAAAAGGAATAGATGAATACTAAAAAAATTAATCACAACTCATTTATGAATAAAATATTATCCATACCTGAATATATTAAATGTAAATAATGAGATTGAAACTGTAATAAAATGTTCTAATTATAATTAGATGAAATTACACAAAAGTCCAGAAATATCGATTGGTTAGTTATTAAATTATATTTAATTAAGAAAATAAAGAATATTACTATTTATCAATAGTATGACTATGAATTGAATAACCCCATGTATGTTATATATCTAACAATCGATAAAACAAAAGTTACATTATTTGTTAGCTTCAGTGACGAATATTTCAGCGCTA